TTGTCAAGGCTCCTATAAATAATCGGCCATCATGACAAATCACAGGCAAATACCATTATGTAGAAAATCTATTTTTTGGTGATCGACCATGATTGTCGGTTTTTCATACACGGATCAAAGGTAATCGCCTGTACTTGCTTCTGTGTGTCCACACGATCGATTAAACTTCAGTTTGTATTTGAATGTGGTAAGTATTAGGAAACAATTCTTAGATAATTTACAGTTATTAACATTGTGTATGTGATTATTGCATGCACAAATCACATAAATAACAGAAGTTGTAGCCAATTCATCTTGAACAATGGATAGAAAGTAAATGAACCTGGGCGATCGTGTGCATTGTTACGGGTCAAAATATCGTAGCCAAGTTAAAATGGCAGAGCTAGTAAACAATACACAACTTTATTTTTATTTATGATTTAATTTAACTTCTAATCTTATCCTAAATCTATTCTAAGTTATTCTAATCTAATCCTAATCTATTCTACCCTATTCTAAGTTATTTTAATCTAATCCTAATCTAGTCTACCCTATTTTAAGTTATTCTAATCTAATCCTAATCTGTTCTACCCTATTCTAAGTTATTCTATTCTAATCTAACCTATTCTACATTAATCTACTTTATAATCTAGGCCTATTCTATTTTGGATTTGTTTTACTTACAGAAACCGTTGTATGAATCGTAAGACTTCTAATTTTGTAGCTTATTCTACTTTCAACCCTATTCTAACCTTTCCTATTATTTTGTTAGAATGATTACTTTTAATGAATACTTTAGAACCCAAAGAAATGCCTGTTGCTATAAGAAATAGTACACAACTCTTTTACATATCTGATGGTTTTAAATATAGGTTAATTATTATTTGTTTTTGTTTACATTCACTTTTATGAAGTGTCACATTCTTCTTTTACTGAGGGGCCACACTCTTACCAGACTTTGTCCTGCTAGTCTTTAATAGTCAAGACCTTCCATTGACTTCCCACCATTTTGGGAACTTCCTTTTATCAGTTTTTATCTGCTCAACTTTGTGGTAGCATGTGCTATTTTCTCTAGTGTATCTAGGATTTGACTTGAGCTAAAAGAATAAAAACTGTGAAACCAGTCTAAAGAATTAGTTGATAAATCTTTGTGATTTCTACACCATTCGGTGGATTTTATATAATCTTTGACTGTGATTCCTACAAAAAGGTCGCCCTACACCTAAAGGTGAGTGTCTAATATTAAATATAATTATTCTTTTACATGGCTTACCTATCGCTTAAGGCTGTTTATATGTGTGGCTTACACTAATCCTTCTTACAGACCTGCAATTTCACCTTCAACTTTAACTTCAACTTCAGCTTCTACTTTAATACTTATTCTACTTATATCTATCTGTTGTATTTCTTTCTGTGGGATCTATCGACTTTCCTTCGGACTAATACACTTCCTTCCAAGCTTTCTTCGTGGTACTATCACTAAACTGCTACAGCTTTTGAACACTGCCAGCTAACATTCTACAAGGATTGGGTGCATGTTTAGCTAGTTTAGGAAGCCAGGTACCCCAGAACCAACCCCTACAGCAAATCGGCTGGATCTAGCCCTCCTTTTACAGACAGGCCAGAGGTACGACGCAATATTGAGAACGACGGGACAACAGAGATATAAAGTAAGACTATTCCTTATAGCCAAGGGCCCCATTTATCGTGGGTACCACATGACCTCAACTGGGGTCCACTAATTGTGATTCTACCTACAAAGGTTTTGAGATAATCGAGATAATTCACGTAATTTACCTTAGAAATTGATATTAGGGTTATATATAGAGGTAAAGCCATTTTATAAAGCTTACTTACAATTCTGGATTACCGTTTGTAACATTTAGGCCTATTTGCGGACGTGTACCTCGGATTGTAACGATAATTTGTAGATACAATTGCATGATATATATAATTATTATTTTACCTACTGAATCACGGCGTGGTATCTTTTTTTTATATTCAGATTATATATATATATATATATATATATATATATATATATATATTTTTTTTTTGTTACTCTTCGGTACATCTAACCTCTGAAATAATTGTCAGACGCTGTCAAAAATTAAATTGAATTTATAAAAATTTGCGTTGTGTCTAAGAACCCCACCCAACTCTCCCGAATTTTATAAAACTGAGCTAATAAAAAGAAATAACCCTTCCATCCCCTATCAATCTGAAGGAGAAAAGGTAATAGTGGTCCTTCGAGCCGACAGCACAATAACGGGATCGATGATGGGCCATTATGCAATGGCCCATCATGGCCGATCGTGAGAATGACAGCGCAATGATGAGACGATGATGACCCGTTATGTAATGTGCTATCAAGGTCGATGCTGTATAGGAACCTTTAATTATCTGCCAACCATTATAAATAGTAACTTTTAATTTCTTATGTTGGCAGTATACTCAACTTTCGTTTTATGTCAATTCACTTGTTATTTGTCATTTGCTGCTCATGGGCAGAAATGAAGACGTTATCGCTATCATCTTTGTTGTTTTTTCCTCGGATAAAAGCAAAATCTTACGATTTGGATTCATTTCACTACCTACCTTCGCTGAAGCTATAACTGCTAATCATCTTTTTAGAGTCCCGATGATGGCGTACGTGCCTAAAGCGCTCGACTAATTTTATTAAATATTAGAGAAGGAATATCTTAGATATTCCTAAAACTTGCACACATTTTAAAAACGTGTTTCATTACTCCTCAGCCTCTAATAAAGTTTTAATTAACAAGAAGTAGAAAATATAATCAAAGTTAATAACAATATAAATTATACATATAAAAACTTAATTTTGGAAAAATACCGAGAGGCATAAATAGAATGAAAAAAATAATAATATTATTTTAATAAAATTATTATAACGCTATATCTGAATTTAAAGAGAACTGATGCACAAAACCAATGTATTTGATGTGGATAGCTTTAATTAAATAAAATTCCAACTATTAATGTGGATCCAATTTGTATAAGTTTAAGAAGACAAAATAAACCAAAAAAGTCTTTTAACAAGGTCTTTTAGTAATAATGTAACCCTTTTCCAATGAAAACAAAAACATTTTTAATTTATACACAGCTGTTGTCTATTGTGTTTCATAATTTATTTGGTTGAAATGTTTTATTGGTTTTCAGTAAATACCTGAATAGGAAAAACGATCATAAAAACATGGCATACATCATTAAAGCATAACTGAATATGGAACATATGAATAACTTAACAGGTACCGTATTGGAATGGACTTCTCCGGTGTTAATATTTATTGAGTTTTTTTTATTATCTATGGAAATAAAACTTATTTTGTATAGTAACCATTTCTTACACTGAGAGAAACGTTTGTTTAATGTTAATAAACCTTATTAATATTTAACATATATTAGGTTTGGATATGGCCGAACTTACGTAAGTTCACTATAACTACGTCATAAGTTAAAAGCTCATCACTTAAAAATAAACACCGATATATTAATGTTAAACTTATTTACTGGTTTAAAATTAAAATAGATTTATTAACATAAATCAAATATGTTAAATGTTAACAAATATATGTTTTAACGTTATATTTTAATTGTTCAATACATTTGTATCATAGTTATCAAATGTGAACTTTTACTATTAAACGTTATTTGTAAATGTTAAAATGTGATTGTTAACAGTTAATAAACCTATGTTTTGTATTATATTTCATTATTTAATAAAGCAGTATTCTATATTTCCAAGACATCTGGTAATGGTACCTAATAGGTAATTTGAATTGTTTACATTTCCTATGATAGCGCAATACCAAAACGCGAATGGAAACGTTGAGATCGGCGCATTATGAGGACGTTGAGTCTGGGTATTATTAAAAATATATTCGCTAATAGTTAACTTATCATAGCTGTATATTAAAATTTATTTATTTCGTAGAGCGCAAAAGCACAATTGTTATATTTAAAGTGTTGTATTTTAATATTAAGAAATTTGTAATGTTTAGATAAACATAATAGTTATTTTTAAATATACGTATATTGCCGAGTAAAATATTTGTTATTATCTACTATACCTTACTGTAACAAATGTTTTGTTGAAGAAAAACTCGTACTTGTGAGATATTTATTAATAATTATAATATTAATTTATTAATAAATTTCCTCAGTTCATATTTAAAGAATTTCTTCCAACTTACAATATTTTAAATATAAGCTACTTTTTTCTCTCAGTGTAGTAAGAGCTCAAAATATTTATTTAATTATAGTGGAATAGGGATAAATGACCATATCTTTGAATAATTGTTAACAGGTTTAACAAAGGGGGGGAGGGTGAACAAGTGTAGAGTTCATTTCACGAGAAAAGAAGCCACTTTAAATTACAGAAATCAAATTGTGTCTTGTTTTTCTACGTCGCTTAGTAATGACAGGATCACACTATTGGTGTAAAAAAAAACATTTCCTACGATAGTCCATCTATTTGTTGGTGTTTAAGAGTTATTGCTCCATTCATGAGAACTAATTTGTCGGCATAGTCCTCCTATTATATCTTTACATTAGGGTGGAGCGAGATTTTTTTTTTTTCTAAAAATTGGTACGCCTGATCAATAGAAAGTTGTGTAAGGTAAAAATATATAATTTGTCAAAAAATAAATTTTTTAGCTCAAATCGTTCTACCGCCCCACCCCTTTTTTCTATTGCCTCGAATATCGCCCTTGGGACGGTGGAAACACTAATGTAATATTTTGTTTTAATTATAAAAAGATATTCTTATTATTGCAATAAAACCTTTGCACAGTCAGCGTTTTGTTAAAAAAAATAATTTATATCAGACATTATTTGCCACATGGCAACATGGGAGGTAACTAATCAGGTACTTGCCTGTAAATTAGTTGTTCTTAGTTAAACCTTGTTAGCGTTGCTACCGTTCTTTACTCAGTCGGTATTACGCCAATACGCACGTTTTTGCTTTTGCTTTCCATTTTTACTCATGATAAATATTTAAAATGTCTAAGAAAACGAGAAGTGCAATAGAATGTCCTATTTTTGGTGAACCAAAAGACTTGGTGTGTTTGGTTTTACCTACTTTTTGGGATATAATGAATTATTTTTTATGGGTTCGACATAACCTAGAACAAGAACGGGTTAACCGCAATCTTCTTGTGTCTGAGACTTCAGAAATTGTTGCTCAAAAAATAGAAGAGATTTGGAAATCTGCGTCAGTACCAACAGTAAGTCATCAAAGAATTCCGGCGCTAATTAAAGAGTACCAGAAGAAACGAAAAGATCTTCTTAAGCCACATCAACAAAGAAAAGACGTTCCTTCCTATAAATCTAAAATTGAAGCTTTTATAAAGGATAACCAAAGATTATTTGACTTTGCAGCATGCAAATGTGCCGAGTTTGAAAGCTGTTCTTATTTAAAACCAAATAAGGTAAGTATTTTTTATTACTATTTTAATAAAAGCGACTAAACGAAACAAGGCACACAATTAAAAGTAAAAATAATGTGTAATATAATATCGCCGTTCCGGTGGAATACCGACGTAACTGCAATTTTTTTGCAAAATTGTGTTATTGCCATAAATGGACCCAAAAAATCAGTGTTTATTTGGTAAAATAAAGACGTAAGTGTAGTGTAGCCAGACGGAAGTTGTGTGCTTATTCCATTTTCAGATATTAAAAGCATATTTCGCAAAAACAGCGCCGCAAGTGTCAGTTGTTTCTCAACCGCGGAGTGAAACGGACATTGCTAAGTGGAATAAAGACGCAAGTGATAATTTTGTCTATCATAATACGATTAGTTTCCAAACTTTTGGGAAAACAAAGACGTAAGTGTATTAAGTGGCCGTATTCGACTAAATATAGTAAATATAGCTTAAAAGCCAGAAATACAAGAAAAAATGCCATAAGTGTACTTCATTCTTTTTAGAAAAAGGTTTTTTCTTAACTAAAATTATATTTTTTATTTAATTTTAGATAAGACAAGCCTAATTATTGATGCGTTTTTTGTCTGTAATAAGTAGCTAGATACTACCTACTTATTAAAATAAATTTAAAACAATTATAAAATAGAGTTATCTATTAATGGATTTTTTTTTAATTATTTTTAGATTCCTAATTGCTGCCTATCTGTATGCTGTGGAACGATTTGCAATAAAGTCAATTACACATAAATTTTTAATCCGCGAGCACACGCAAAACGAAACAGATGCTATCCATAGCATAATTGAAAAAAAAAATGAGAAGATCAGAAAAGTCTGTTCTCATTTATGTCCCAGACCAATATATATCGATGATCCGTGATGCAAAAAAAAAGGAAATAAGATTGATGTTAAAGAAATGGAATTTGAAAGTTTCTATGATCTGAAAACATTATTTGACGATATGGGCCTAAACATTGCTAAAAATCTTGATGGTAATGAATTTAAAATAAATGAAGTTAAGATTTTGGAGTTTCAGAAAGGAAGTGAATTAATTCGCTATAAAACTAGTTATGGGCAAGCTGAATGGTCTTCTTTAAATTTCAAAGCTGAAAGAAGACGATCTGAACTACAAGACATTAAAAATGTTACACTTATAAAAGCTTACTCAAAGCCTTCGCAGTTATCCGAAAATAAAAAAAGGGATATAAAAAGTTTAATAGAGAGCAAGCTAATACCAACATTCTACAGTTACTTTTATGATTGCATTTTAAAATAAGCATTTTTAAAGTTTCATTCTCTAATAAGGTATAGTTATTTACATTTTAACATTTTTGTGAATTATAAGCTTAGTTTTTTATTTTGTTATGTATTTTTGTTGTAATAAAAAGGACACAACTCCTAACGTGATCTTTTATTTTTGGTCAAACAAAGACGCAACTATCAAAATCCATTTTCGCCTTAAGAGCACGGAAAGCCACATATTCCATTTTATTCTACCTATTTAACAAGCTACTTTCTCACAAAATTACGATTATCATAAAAACTTTCTTTTAGAAATAATTAATTAAAGGAAAAGTAAATTGTTTTTTGTCTCTCCTGAAAGTTTTACCAATTTGCAGTTACGTCGATATTTCACCGAAACGGCGATATGTCTTTTTATTTTTAAAGTGCTGTCCCAGCTGGAAAGTATTTCTGTTTTTTAAATGTAAATATTTGTAGGTTCTTCTAAGAGAACGCCCATTTCTTAAAGATCAGAGGTCAGACAGGAAAATGATGTTTGGTTCTGTTGATTTCAAGGCTGTTCGACAATAGCATAAAAGAGAAATGAAAAAGACAACATATCCAAAGAGCCGAAACCGAGTACACTGATTCTGAAAGTGAGCCAGGTAAGTCTGATTATAATAAAGACGACCCTGCTCCCAAAATGACACTTTTTTCTAAAGAACCAAGTACGTCAGGCTTAAGAAATCGTAATCTTAGCAATCTCAGCGTGTTGGAAAATACGTTAGATAGATACGAGGTTTCAGACAGAGCAGGTGCTACAATAGCTTCAGCCGTGTTCCAGGATTACGGAATTGTTACCAGCAAAGCCTCCCAAAATATCATTGACGGTCATAAAGTCAGACGTGCAAGACAGAAAAAAAGACAGAAGCTAAAAAAGTCTTCAAAAATATCCATGTTACGTGGTTTGTATTTCGATGGCCGTAAGAACATGACATTACCATTTACTAATAATAAAAAAAAACAATAGTCGAAGAACACATAACTTAATTGCAGGAACCAGATTTAAACTATATTGGCTATCTGTCCCCTGTTTCTGGAACTGCCTCAAGAATTTTGGATTCTTTAACTGATTTTATCGAGAGTTCCTTAATTTCGTTAAACAGTTTAGAAGTGGTTGGTTGCGACGAAACAAACACTAATGTAGGAACCAAGGCGAGAATTATTGCATTACTGGAAAGAAAAATTAAGCGACCCCTGCAATGGTTTATGTGATAGTGAATAAACTTCTTTTGCGACATTTGCTTCAACACCTCGATGGTGAAACAACTGGTCTTAGAACATTTCAAGGGTCTGTTGGAAAGCTATTATCCAACTGCGAAAATCTACCAATCATGGAATTTTCTAAAATAGAGTGCGAATTGTCTGATATTGACACTATCTTCGAATTAAGTACAGATCAAAAATACCTTCACTAAATGTGCTTAGCAATTAAAAACGGTTACTGCTCTGAAGCTCTTTCAAAACGTGACCCAGGTCTAGTTCATTTTCGGTGGTTGACTACTGCAAACAGACTATTACGTTTATATATCAGCACAGCACATCCAACTTAAAATTTAATTACATTAGTAACATTTAGAGTTATGGTTTATGGCCCTATGTGGTTTTTTATTAAAAAAATGCATTTATGTATTTATGGCGCAAAACATGTTTTCAAAACTATTAAACTATGCAAATATTTGTCAGATGACTTAAAAAGTATTGTTCATAAAGTGATTAATAGAAATGTTTTTTTTTTTTTGGACACCCGATAAATATAATATTGCCTATGTTGTGGGATGAGCGCAGATATATAAGGCAACTAGCTTATTGCAAAATTTTAAAGGCCAGGGCTAAAACCAACGCTAATCAACTTAAACTTTAAAATTTTGCCCTTCCGGTTCATAACTTTGAAGCTCAAGAATACTACGAGCTAGTAGACTGCCAAAATGTGAATGTAAATGTAAAACCATTAATAACAGCCAAGCTACAAGAAATCGTAGACGACCCAAAACATTTAGCAATTTCTTATATAAAAGATTACCCTTGCCACACACAAGCTGTGGAAAGAGCTGTCAAAATGCTACTACATATAGTTTGTGGTTATACCAGAAGACATGGGACAATAAAAAGTAAATTAGAATCACGGTCCATAATGCCGAAATTTGAGGCTAAAAAAGATTTTCCTTCAAAGTAGGATAATATTTTATTTTATTTTAGTTTAGGCTTAAGGCAATTTTTTTTAGTTCAGGTTATAAATTGTATCATAGTTTTCAAAGAGAAATAAATGTTTAAAAAACAAATTATATTTTATGTTATTTATGAAGTTTTTTTGCTGTTTTTTGCTGTTTTTTTGGTGACTCTGTGGTGGTGCATACGATGCTAGTAGAAAAACAAAATGAGCAAAAATGTTTTTATTTCCAAGCACATCGTTTCCAAACCCGGGCATCTTAATTTAAAAACAAAAATTACATTTTTTAGACCCTGTGCTAGTAAAAACTAAATAAATACATAAGAAAACTTCTTATTCCCAAGTACGTCGTTTCCAACGTCAGACATCTTAATTTTTAGAAAAAAAAAATATCTTTTTATAATGTTGCTCCACCTAACTCTACATTCAAATTTTCAGAAATCAGTTGTCGAGAGCATTTTCCCTATCGTAGGAAATGCCTAACAGATTTGAATGTATTAATTAAAATTTTGAGCCCAAAAGAGTTCTTAGTTTTTAGTGAATTTGATATAGTAGGATAGTGAAGTGAGGTGAAAGTTAGATACTTTGTTATTTGTGTATAATAGGTGTATAATATATCTACTAGGAGAATAGGATGAAAGAAAGACATTTATTTTTACAAAAATCGAAAATTACAAACAGAGTTTATAATAAAAACTCGATTAAAAATATTTGCGAAGTCAATTTTAGATAAGACTTTAGATAAGAAACATGTCCTAACAGTTTACATATTGTTACGCAGGTTTTTGGTATCACAATTTATTTCAACTGAACTTTAACAATAACAATGCAACTGATAACATTAACGTGTAACGTCTATCATAAAACTAAAACTCTGACGTCAGGTCGTCGACTTATATAGCTTGCTTGACCCTTCTCGAAAAATCCGGACTTTTCTTTGACAAGGAATAACATTTCGAGACATTTCTGGATTATTCTATCTTCTTTATTTACTCGTACCTTTACTTATTACGACCGCAGTACGCTACAGGGTGCTGCGTAACATTGCTCCCTCCTCTCTAATTATTCGCCCCGAATAACTTGATTACTGGGACCTGGCCGGAGCCAATGGGGAGGATCTGGACCATGGTATGGGGCTATCGTTCCACTGTGAACTGCGTTGGATTTACCTCCCGCTGACAGTTGAATGTGGCAGCTCAGGACAGAGTAGGGGCCTTGCCAGTTCCGTTGCGATTTCTGACAAAGTCTTCCTCGCTGCTTGGGATTGCACCGCCATACCTTGTCGCCCCTCTCAAAATGTATATTTGTGGCACGCCTGTCGATTCTAGCTTCTGCATTATCGGTGTGGGCTTTCAATCGTTCCCGAGCGAATCCATAGACCTTTGTCCTGCCATTGCATACATCACATCTTTTACACCAATCCGCTATATCCCGTCGGCAATTGACCCAATAAAATCTTTCTCGTACTCGTGCCAGTGTTCTTTTAGTATCAAAGTGTCCTCCTGAACGGCTGCAGTGAAGCTCCTCCAATACATTTCTCACCTATGACCTCGGCAGTATCACTTGGCGGACTACATGTACTCCATCAGGGCTCTCCCACTTCCGGTGCAATAGGCCATCGTGAAGATACAGGGAATCTCACTAAGTCCAGTAACTTTTTATAGTTCTACTCTATTTGGCTATCTCTTGCCTTATTTTTGAGCAATTCTCGGACAACCTTTAAGTCACTGTCTTTCTTTTGTCTCAGACTTTTAAGGGTGATATCTTCTTCGCCGCCCTCTGGCTTCATAGTGGTTGTCTGAAGGGTAACTTTATCAACTGGTTCTTCCTGTTCTCCGAGCCCCTACTGCAATGGCATTTTCGTTCTAAACAGAGTCACCTGGAGAGAATGTCTGCGTTGCTATACAGATGGCCTCTACGATGCTCTACTTCCTGATTATTGCTAGAAAACCGGCTTGGTGTGGGTAATTGGCTACTTCGGGACGCATAGCTGCTGTGACTATTTCTTGTTGGACTTCGGAAGATTGATATTTGTGACTTTCCGGCCTCATTCCCTGATTCTCCATTTATAGAATGAGCTCTGCTTCTACAAGTTTTTTGAAGGTGCCCGGTTCTTCCACAATAGAAGCATCTTCTGTTCTTATTTTGGCTATTTCGTTGTATATTTTGCAGGATATTTAATATTTGCGAGAGCGTAGGTTGGGGAATAACATTAGCATTGGGGTCCTCACTTTCATGGGATTTAATTTCTTTCATTTTTGCGCGATATCTGGATGTAAGTTTTACCGCTTTATATTCCTGGGCTGCAATCAGTTTCTCCTTCAGCGTCTTGTGATGTTGTAGACGAAGGACTTGCTGCATTTCCGCATCTTGTAGTCCATCAATGAATGCCTCTATTCCGATTTGTTCTTGGAATTCTTTGGGCGCCTGTGGATAGGCCAGATAAATTAATCTTCTTACGTCAGCTCCGAATTCCTGTAGACTCTCATTATGTTTCTGACTACGAATCTTTAGCTGGCTTTGAAATACCCGTTTCAAATGCTGCTGGCCATACCTTGTCTTCAAAGCTTGGACGAGAGAGGAATAACTGGGTTCTTCTTGAGGGAGTAACTGTAAAACGATTGCTGCTTGTCCTCGCAGCTACACTATCAATGAAGCCGCCTTCTCCTTTTCAGCCCAGCTATTAACTCTAGCTGCAGCTTCAAATTGAAAGCGATACGTTTACCATGTTGTCTAACCGTCAAACGTGGGTGGCTTAATGATCTTGCTAGTATGGAATTGTGAAACGAATTCTTCTTTCTAACTCAACTAGTTCAGTTCTAATTTGCCTTTCGAACTCTACTCTAGCCTTTTCCTGTTGCTTTAAATTATCTAGTTGTTGTTCTAATTTAGTTTTTAAATGCGCTTGCTGCTGTTCTAAATTAGTTTTTAAATGCTCTTGTTGTTGCTGTATCAAATCTACTCTAATTTTAAGCTGACCAACCTCTTGCTTAAAGGTTTTCTGGATTTGTAGTAAAGCATTTATAATTTCTACCTCAGTTTTTCTACGCCTTTGTTTATTCTCCTCTTCTTCCTTCCTACGCATTTTCATTTCCTCCTTTCTACGCCTTTTTTTTCTCCTGTTCCTCCTACGCTTTTCCTTTTCCTTCTCTTCTTTCTTTCTACGCTTTTCCTTTTCCTCTTCCCGCCATACTCTTTCCTCCTCTTCTTCCTTCCTACCCCTTTTCTTTTCCTCCTCTTCTTCCTTCCTACGCCTTTTCTTTTCCTCTTCCATCTTCAAAAACCATGCTGGTGGGCCTAAAGTGTCCATGACTGCTTCGTACTTAGTGGATCTAGTATTTACCATGAACTTCTACTTTGTATCCCACCGCTGTCACCAATGTTACGCAGGTTTTTGGTATCACAATTTATTTTAACTGAACTTTAACAATAACAATGCAACTGATAACATTAACGTGTAACGTCTATCATAAAACTGAAACTCTGACGTCAGGTCGTCGACTTATATAGCTTGCTTGAACCTTCTCGAACAATCCGGACTTTTCTTTAACAAGGAATGATATTTCGAGACATTTCTGGATTATTCTATCTTCTTTATTTACTCGTACCTTTACTTATGACGACCGCAGCACGCTACAGGGTGCTGCGTAACAATATTAAATGTCATTCACATTTATTTTAAATCAGACTCGACTAAAAGTTTGACACATTTTAGAATGTACAATATTCTTTAAAATATTTATTTTATTTTTTATTAAAAATTCTGAAGAATTTCCTTATAATACAGGCCATTGTTCAAAATTAAATACAAGGATTGAAAATTTTGCAAATATTGCTTCAGATAAGGTGAGCCTAAAAAATGTTTAACTGGTAAAGTAATAGTTGTTTACATTTTTTGAAAAAAAAAAATAAATATTAAAGCAATTATTATTATTGTATAAAAAATAAGGATATATCCTTAATTTTTCAGTTTAATTTTTATATTTTTTCTTAACCTTTAATTACGGTTTTCAGGAAAATGTACGAAATTATGGAGCTTCATCCTCACGAAATTAAAAAAAAAACAATTGAATTCGTACTTAAATGTAAAAAGCAAAACCTACAATCTTGGCCTACGAATAACTATTTTTTTACACCCTTTACTCTATTACTCGTTTTAACCAGCACATAAAAGTTATTTAATTCACTCATCTAATCATTCATGAGCTTAAAATTTTCATTTTGTTGAACTTATAGCATAAATTACAA